TTTTTTTTTTTTTTTTTTTTTTTTTTTTTTTTTTAGTTAACATACATACCGTATGATCCAAATCAAGTACTCGGCGTGAGTGGCAGTTACATGGGCAATTCCCAATTGGTACAGAGAGCTGGTCCAAACGTACAAGCATCGGCGAATAGTTATTATAGTGCAACTTCAGCTGGTAAGTAGTGCAACGTATACACGCTGATAATTCCTTATATGTAAATTCTCATTATTATATTTTCATTTGCATTCTTTTGATTTTTACATTTATTACAGATGTATTTCCCGGATCGCAAACAGGTTTTTATCAGCCAGGGGGTGCTACGCAACAAACCGGTACTCATTATGGACTTCAAGGATTTGGTCAGCACAGTCAAAGCTTGGCACCTGGCAGTGCTACTCCTGTTGGACTTCAAAATTTTAGCTCAGGCTTTTTATCTAGTTCGGGATTACAGATTGCTGCAGCAGCTCAGCAGTTTCGTAATCCGACAGGAGGACTTCCTGGACCAGCAAATGCAGGTCCCACTTTTCTCAGCAAACATCAACCACAGGAACAACCTAGACAATTAAAAAGTCCATCAGGAAATCAGCAAGATGTCCTTGCATCGGTTTTCAGTTCGTGTAAGTCGAACTATTTTTACCAAGCATTATATTGTTGTTCATAGAATTATATTTAACAGATATTATAATAAAAAAATATATGTATGTAATGAGCAGCTCCACAAATACCATCACCAAAATCGAGGAACTGTAAACAACAATCTTCTTCTCAACAACCACAACCTAGTCCAACACAACATCATAAATATCAACAGTATCAAGGTGTTAGTCAGTCGACTTTGGTAAGCAGTTACGTTTAAACCATCAATAACAAAATTTAATAATAATAATAGTAATTAATATATAATTTAATAATATTATTAAATGAAATTAGATAATATTTAATAATCGTGTATTTACTATTTCTGCATTCGTAATTGATCACAATATTATATAAAAAATGATTTCAGTTTATTATTCAGTTTATTTCAGTCTGATGTATTAAGTTAAAAAAATTTTAAAAATTTATATGGGGGCGGGGTGTTCGTAGAAAAAGTTTTTGATAGAATTGTAAAGAACAGTTAACAAAATGGTAATAATATGCAGAATGCTTAAACACAAAAACGAAAGAAAAGTTTAGCATGCCGAAATCATTATAGGTTTTGCAACAAAATATACGTGGCATGGGTATACCACCACGCGCTGGAATTCAACCATCTCAACAAAGATATCCACCGCCCATTCAGAGACCAGTTGTTCCATGTACACCGGGTCCAAACCCGAATAATCCTACGCAGCAGCAACAACAACCTAATTGTATGCCTTCACAGCAGCAGCAGCAACAGCAGCAGCAGCAGCAGCAGCAACAGCAGCAGCAGCAACAACAACAGCAAGCTCAAATCAATCGCCATAGACCGAATTTGCATCAACAACAACAACAACGAAATATGAAAATGCAACAACAATATTATTCCACCCAAGGTTTGCACTTTTTATGTCGTATTGGTACAAACAATTGTTGAGAAAATTATCGAATTAAAAGATTAAATCGTATTAATTATAGTATCTTTCAATTCTTCATTTTTAGGAAACGTCAAGATCGACACAAATGAAAAGACAGATTCGCACAATGATAAAATCAACGATGGTAGTTCCGGTGCTCAACAAGGAGGCGCTAAATCTAACGTAAATTCACAAGACAATGACAATAAGGAAGAAGTGAACCAACAAAATGAGTGAATTGTGAAAAAGAACAATCGATTTACTGTTTGAAAAATACAATTTACTATCATACATAATGGTGCGACGTCGATGGAAAGGTAAATGATAATGATTAATTGTCATATCTGTGGAGCAAATTGAACTCCAACCGATGTTGTATTTGTCGATTTAAAGCGACTTGCGAGGTTAGAATTCATAATTTATAACTTGGCCATGTTGAGTTAGAATAATTTAATTATGGTGAACTAAAGAAAGGACAAGATAAGTGATATTACCATTATACCAATGCTTCTCTGAATTAGTAATCATAAACGTTACATTTCATGAATTCTTAACAAACAAATCGCTTTTATCGAGCATTCCTTTTTATTCGGAAAATATTGAAAATCCCAAAACGGCAACAAGTGCTGAGGATGTAGGATAAATACTCGAAGTAACACAAAATTTGATCGGTACCATCGAGAATAATTATCATCCGAAAAAGTCCCTGTGGATTACTTGTCTCGATATTAGGGACACCAACACGTTGTTCAGTTTAAAAAAATAAATAAGTAAAAAAATAAAAAAAGTTGAATAATTAGACTGACGCGCACAACGTATATTCACTCGATGTCAATCGATCATCCTAACCAATTAATTACATCATCAACTGTGAAGATAAAAAGATGTGCACAAGACTTAAGTTTCTGTATGTGGACACGACGGCGGTCTGTGGTATGCGATAATGTTAAAACCTGATTTTTTGTGAAACGTAGTTCGACAAAGATATTGCACGACCGTTGCTACTAATTGTAGAGCATCATTAAAATGAAAATAAGAAAAAGAAAAAAAAAAAACAAATCGATAAAGGAGGCTGTTGTGTATATGAAAATTGGAAAAGGAAAGGATATTCATGCAATGGTCGTATAGATCTGCATGACATTACCCATAATGTAATGTGACAATTTAAGAAGTTCGTGTACATTAATCATTTATTGATGTACTGTGAGGTCATGGTGAAGCTTGTGAAAAATAAATAGTGCAACAATCGTTCATCGTACTGAATATATTATCATGACCTAGCCACTCTCAGAAAGAGCTAACAATTAGAAGAAATGAATAATACGCGGAGTATTGCTTGCAAAAGTATGAAATGCGTTCGATTCATTCGCGTGTAGTAATATTCCATTAGATCGCAGCACAGTCTGTCATAACGTACATGTCGTAGAAAAAAGAATTGTATATTCTCTGCTTTCGTTGCGGTTCAAGCACTATTATGATAATTATGATTATTTTATTTTAATTTTATTTTATTTGTAATACTACTGTCATCGTTATCATCATCATTATTTCTATTGTATTACTATATTACAACATATATAATATATGATCATCATCATCGTCGTCGTTGTTACTACTATTACCATTGCTATTGTTATTACTTCTTACCATACGACCATTAATCCTACATTTTTGCAAAAATATAACAAGAGAACCACCATCATCACCACTCCCATCGCCTCCACCAACATTGCCACTACTACTACCGTCATCGTCATCATCGTCGTCATCGTCATCATCGTCATCATCGTCATCATCATCATCATCATCATCCTCATCATCATCATCATCATCATCATCATCATCATCATCATCATCAATCATCATCATCATCATCATCACCATCACCACAACTACCATCACCATCACCACACCACACCACCATCACCATCACCACAACCACCATCACCATCACCATCACCACCATCACCATCATCATCACCATTACCATCATCACCATTACCATCACCACCATCATCACCACCCACCACCACCACCATCATCACCATCCACCACCACCACCATCATCACCACCCACCACCACCACCAGCATCATCATCACCACCCACCACCCCCTCCTATTAACCACTATTGCTGCTGCTGCTGCTGCTGTTGTTGTTGCTACTACTTCTACTACTGCTGCTGCTGCTGCTGCTGCTGCTACTACTACTACGACTACTACTACCACCACCACCACCACCACCACTACTACTACTACTGCTACTGTTACGATTACTACTACTACCACTACTACTACTACTACCACTACCACTACCACTACTACTATTACTACTACTACTGCTGGTGCTGCTGCTGCTGCTGCAACTATTACTGGTGTTATTGTTATCATCCAATCGTCCTCACCTTTACCTTCACCATCACCACGTTGTTGTTATTATTATTACTTATTATTATTACTATTATTATTTTATTATTATTATTATTATTATTATTATTATTATTATTATTGTCATTGACGCCGTCGTAATCATCATCATTACTACCACCTTCAACGTCACCGTTATTATGATAATATTATTATGAGATCGAAACAGCTGAAAATAAATAATACTATTTACAATAATTGATCTTTAACAATTTGTTTATAATGACTAATTTTTTTAATTCAAATGCATTAGTATTAATGTTAAAATATATGAAAATTTTAAATTCATGTATGCACTACTACTCTACATCATTCATTATACATAAATTCTACATATACTTCTTCTAAACATTTTTATATTTCTATAGGAAAGCTAGAAATACATATCAATAGGAACTTTGAGCGTTTTAAAATATATTTATTAAGGAAACGTGGTTTCATTTAGTTACTTTCATTACTTGAATTGCCATACAGCATGATTGCGCTGTTAAATATCATGTTAAAAAATGCCTCAGCATCGAACCTCAATGTGCAATCAGCAGTGCGTTCGGATACTTCCGCGATTCACTTATTTAATTTTACTTCAGATCATTATATTTTTTCTGCTTGTAGCATAAAGTATGTATTGAGAACAGTACAAATAATAATAATTAATTAAGACGAATCTTATCGTGTCTCCTTACATTTTTCGACATAAAATGAAAGAAGTTTGATCGTATCACTTCTCGCTTGTCGATAAAATTTTTCTATTATCCTGTAGCATTCAAACATTTAAATTATTCTGTGTAAATAATTTCGTAAAAAATTTGATGGCATTACAAATGTGTAAATTATAATAGAAAAACATATATTTAGGAAATAATAAAGATAGTGTTTTTGTTGTTGTTGTTGTTGTTATAATAGTAGTAGTAGTAATAGTAGTAGTTGTATTGTTGCAGCAACACTATTAACTTCAATTAACTTAATAATATCAATTTTATTAACATTAGAACTACCAAACTACTTATTGCAAATGTGCAGTTTTTGGCAAAATTGATATTAATTTCTATCGAAATGAAGATGTAATTACACATATCTATGTACTTGTTTGTGTTATTATGCCAGTTTAATTATTATTAGCTATTATCACTATATTTAAGTATATTTTAAAGGTTCTAGTGTTAACAACTGTTAATGTTAGTTTAATTTTGTTTTTGCTACTAATAATACTTAGCTTTGTTTACTTTCTTCGATCTACTGTTTGTTATTACATTAATATCCTTTTAATAATATTGTTTCATATTTTTTAATATAACTTTATAATTACTAATTTAATTTTATATCAACCTTTATGTTTATTATATCACGTTTACTTTATTCAACCATTATTTTCATGATATTTCATTTATCTTTAATTCTTATATTACAATAATTTTTTTTAAAGTTGTCGTTATTTAAAGAGACTACCGTTAATCGTCGTGGTTTTCATTGTACCGTTGTTATCGTCATCATTTTTGTCATTATTACGAGTTTGAAATACCAATTTTATAATACTCTCAATTAGTGTAATAGAACATATCCTTATCGTATCCTATAATGTATCATTGCTATTGATATTACTGTTACCTTATTGTCAGCATTGTTGCTAATTATATAGCTATTATCATCGCTTTCATACCATATCAAATAATATTATCTTTACACGTGAGTATTTAATGGCTGATAACATAAGGATGAGGATTGAACCGAAAAACGTGTAAGTAAAACGATAAAAATGTACAAGGATTAGTTGTGGAAAAATATCCTAAAATATTTTAATGACTTACATATAATACATTTACTCATTTACCTATTATTGCTCACATGCAATGTGATACATCTTTAAATTATATATGAAATATATAACAAATAATATGCAGGTGCAAGGGTGAGTTACAATGTATTTGAATAATAATAATAATTTATGATAATTCTGTAATATATCGAAATAATAGTTAATATAATTAATAGCAGTAAAAGTATGCGCTGTTTTGATTATGAAATCTTTAGTGACATACAGTTAATGTAGAATTTGATAATGCTACATATGGTTGGAAAAGCTGAATAAGCATTTATGTATGTATATAACGTATATATATAGTAAACAAAAAAATGTTGAGATTTGTATAAATGTATGAATGTGATGTTGAAATTATTATTTCGGATACAAATAATTATATATGTTATAATTAAATAATTATATACAAATAATTATACGTATTCTTATGCCTTTAATTTCAAACTAAATATTATGTTTTCAAATCTTACAAATTTACATTACTATATATGCTGCGAAAATAATGAAATTACATAGTACGGTCGATTTGTAAATTTCAAAAATATAATGTAATAATATGACGGACCCTTGTACCTAGTTTTTAAGTTATAAAATTTCTATAATTTCAATCATTTACAATTAATCATTTATTTATATAAATATCTAAACAAATGCGCGCATATCAATAATTAATACATGAAAATAAAATGAATACAAATAAAGTCAAAATATTCTTAATTTATAGTTGCAGTGATTTTTTGACACGATTAATTTAAATCTGTTTTTATATTTTTTACATCAAAATGTTTTTATATTGATATTTCTCATAAGTAATCAAATAATATTTAATATTTAGTTTGATATTTTTTTAATGTCAGATAAAAATAAATTTTAATTGATCAAAAGCAATCTTTACTTAATGGTGATAAAAACACATATCTTCATAATACACCAATAAAGGAAATGGATAGAATGAAGTTTCTTATTGTCTATTTTATTTGATATGTCTGTCGTATCAGAAAGACCTGAGATAGTTGGACATACTAATCCGTTGTCGTGATGTAGTTTAAAGTATTATGACATTCAAGCGATCGTAAGGTAATCTTTTAATGGGTTCTTTATAATAAAAAATGAATGTTTATTAAGTAATTGTTGTTTTTAATCATTGTTTAGTTTTATAAATTCATTTTTTCGCAAAATTAGCAAAATTAATGGGTAATGAAAAAAGTGCCCCTAGTGGGCTAAAAATTGACGAGAAACCTATAGAAATAACAGATTTTTGGGCACATTACATGGCCTGTGTGAATGGCCACAATGTACAAAGGATTTCGGTGTTTATCAGTGAACCATCTTTGCATTATAGTGCAAATTTTGGAAATGCATCGCCTTTAGAAAAAGCTGCAAAGGTTAATGTTAATTTATTAATTATTTTCTACATTGTAAAATATTACATATACATATTAACTATTTTCAGTTTTATTTTTTTTTTTTACTAATGTTGTTTTAACTAACTAAATAATCTGTACTTATAACAATAATCAATATGTATTTCAGAATCTAATGTTATATAGGCATCCTTGTATATTGAAGTATATCTCTTCATGGTCAAAAGGTAGTAAGTTTTTCCTTGCTACTGAACAAGTTAAACCTTTAATTCAATCATTAGAAACCCAAAATACATTGCAAATATGTATGGGTTTATATAGCATCTTACGTGCATTGGTCTTCCTACATGAAAAAGCATCCGTGTCTCACAATAATCTGTGTGAAAGTTCCATCTATGTTACACCAGAGGGATGTTGGAAACTTGGTGGATTGGAATGTCTATGTAAATTTAATGAATTAACTTCTTCTTATTTACAAAAAATAAGGAACTACAGATATAAAAAAGCAATATCTTGTAATGAAGATACGATTGTTACTTCAACGAGTTTTACAACAATCGATGTATATGCATTTGGAATTTTAGCTGAAGACATATTAAAATTAAAGGATCCAGGTAAATGGTATATAAGTAATTCAATATGTATTATATTTAAATTGATCATAAATATAAATTTGGATAAATGTGTTCTATTTAACATTAGGAGATGTTCCTAGCCTCTTAGAATTTAAACAGTTTTGCAAAGAAAATTTACAAAATTCTGATCCTTCATTAAGAAGTGAACTATCCCATGTGCTTCAACATCCATTCTTTACTCATGATTTTATGAGGATATATGCATTTTTAGATGAATTACCCTTAAAGAATAGCCAAGAAAAAGAAATATTTTTTGGGTAAATATTTTTAATCTAATTCTTATTATACATCTAATTATTATTAACTTTGTGCCATTATTTATATGAATGTTAAAATTTTTTAATCATATTGCAGGACTTTAATAACACAATTGAGAATGTTCCCAGAAAATATTGTTGCAGAACAATTAGGTCGTTTATTACTTTCAAGAATGGTTTTATTAGATACAACAGCTCAAGAACAGCTTTTACCATTTATATTAAAACCAAAAGGTAAAATCGAAAAATTAAATTTCGTATTTAATGTAAACTGAAAATTTATTTCATTTGCAGATGGAAATGATATTACAAGTAGTAACTTATTTTCAATTTCTACATTCAAAGTCTATTTAGTGCCCAAACTATTGCAAATGTTTTGTATACGTGATGTATCAATACGTTTGGTACTTCTATCACATTTTAATTCGTTTGTTTATACATTTCAAGTAGATGAGTTAAAATCTCAAGTTCTTCCAGAATTACTTGTTGGAATTAAAGATACAAACGATCATCTGGTGTCAGCAACATTAAAAGCATTAGCTGATATAGTTCCGATTCTAGGTGCTGCCACTGTAATTGGTGGAAAGAGAGGAAAGTTATTTACTGATGGACGGCCAAAGAAATTAAAAGATAACAAGAAAACTGAAAATAGTATAAATATTGTCCAATTCACGGTTCCTACAAATAGTATTCAAAAAATTATTAATTTACCGGAAAGACCATCTCCAGATGGAGGTGAGGATAAAAAAGAAATTGCTTCTTCGATCATCGAAGAAGAATACACGTGGTCTGATTGGGACATACAAGAAACTGGAGATGTGCATCTTCGAATTTCACGACCTTCCCAATCTCAGTCCCCATCTAATGACATTTTAGTTTCTGACTCAACATTAAGAATTACTACAAATACAATATTAAATATAGATAAAGATAAAGCAAGTGAATCAAAATTAATAAAAAAGTCAACTGTTTTATCTGATATTTCAGAGCTTGATATTAAAAATTCAAAATTGATTGATACTCTTAAAGAAGAATATGATTATTTCACAGACATGGAACCTGTAATAAAGAAGACACAAATTTTACATGTACAACAAGCACAAATATTATCAAAAAGTGTGTTTGACATAAAAATACCAAATGGATTAGAAATAGTTGAAGAAAATAATGGCTGGGATGAAGATTTAAGTGATTGGGGGACTGAAGATATTCAAGAAGTTAAAACCTGAAAATATATGTTATTCTTTATCATATTTTTTACATTTTGAAAGAGTAAATTAGTTAAAATTATTTGCTGAATTTCTTTAGATGAAATAAAAGAAAAAAATACCTGTTTTTTGAATTTGTGATCTCAGTGAGCAGTACAAATGTATCATCATTTTTTAAGTGTATAGGCATTTGCAATTTGAGCAATGTAAATTACATAATAAATAAATACGACAATTGATTAAACTTGTCATTTACATTTGAAAGTTCTTTTTCTCTATAAAATATTAGGAATCTAAATTGAAATTGAAAATTTTTTAATTTAATTTACTAACAGAAAATTTCAATTTATGCATCAATATTTGTTGATTTGAAACTATTGTTTTATATTATTTACTATCTTTATAAAATTAAATTGTAGCAAAATATTAATATTAATAAAATATTGATAAAATGTTTGTAATAAAAAAAAAATTGAATATGAGATATCTGTATTTCAATACATGAAGTTACATATTTTCATACATAGTCACTCATAGTCAAAATCTCACAGTGTATATAAACGGATATTTTATATAAATTTACAAACAGTATATACATGTTGAATTATTTAAATGTTTTGACTAATAAAAATTTAAATATTAATTTCTAGTTTAATATATTTTCACATACATTATATACTTGTACTTTATTTTTTTTATTATAAAGCTAAAATACCACACAAATTAATATCACATTTAAAATTGTAAAAGACATTCAACAAAAATAATATTAGAGTATCCTTTAATATTTATAACTACAGTCGTAATATTGAGTTTACTAATTATTATAAAAATTTACTTCAATGTTTATCCACGATTTCCGCAATGCTGCTTTTAATTGATTTTTGTTCGATATTTAATATCGAATCGGAAGATCGTAGTGATGTTTGAATTACTTTGGAATAATTATACAAGAATCATTCTTGCTCACTTTAAACGAGTTAAATGTATACACACACTTCTCTATTAAAGGCACGTGCGTACGCACACACGCCACACATATATTTAGAATGCATTTTCAATATTCCATTTTTCAGCTTTAGGTTTTTAAATTAAAAAATATTAGAAATATTGGAGATATCAATTAATGAAAATGTGCATAAAATTCTAAATATATTAAAAAAGATGCTTATAATTTAAACAAATCTTTTAAACAATTTTTTGTTATCAGAAACATATTTCTCAAAATTATTACTGTGATTAAATTTTCCGAAATTATTAAACTAACTTAAATTTTGAATATTATTTTTAAATTATAATTTCGTCTTATGAATTCATCAAATATAGATAAATAAGAAACCAAAAACTTTTATTTTTATTTTCAATATACAATTAATTTTAATATATAATTACACGAAAATGTATTTTTATAATTAACAATTTTTTACTGCAGGAAATAAATTAAATTAGATTTTAGAATTTTTGACCGTTCAACATTTATGAGGGCGCTACAAGCGTATACAATGACTTCCTTTTTATACGTGGAACGTTAAGAGGTTGTGTTGCGACTGGGATCTTATTTCATTTATCATTAACATGGTACGTAAAATTTCTTTAATATTAATGTAAATCAATAAATGAAATTCTTAACTATCTATGTAAATCATTTGATATTAATAGAAATAATAGATGCATGTTATTTAATAAGATACGAGAAGTGGTATTTATTACATGGAATTGAATATTATAAACATATTACGGATAATCAAGTGAATATATGTAATAAATTTCTTTAATATATTATAGAATTACCACTTAAATGATGAATATTTTAGCTCACTTTGATGAAAAAATGAAAATACGGTTCCTTATGCTACTGAATATGGTGTATAGATTAAACATAAAATATGAAGCTATCTTTTTATTTGAGCAGTAATATTGACTTTTTAGGGTTTTGTAAAAGTTATTAAAAATAAACAATATTTCAAACGTTATCAAGTTAAGTTTAGAAGGCGACGTGAGGGGAAAACTGATTACTATGCACGTAAACGATTGACTATTCAAGATAAAAATAAATATAATACCCCTAAATATAGACTAATTGTACGTCTATCAAATAAGGATATTACTTGTCAGGTAAAGATATTTAAATTATATATCTAAAAACTTTTTAGTATATAATAAAAATTTATTACACACACACACACACACACACGTACGTGTGCGTGTATACACATATATAGGTTGCATATTCAAGAATTGAAGGAGATAGAATTGTATGTGCAGCATATAGCCATGAATTACCAAAATATGGTGTTAAAGTTGGTCTTACAAATTATGCTTCTGCATATTGTACAGGTCTTCTCCTGGCAAGAAGAGTAAGCATTTTTTAATTTTTTATTCTACGATTATTTATTTTATATCTAAATATCTGTTTAATGATGAAATACTCAGCTCGCTTTGATGCATAACTGAAGAGATATTAATTGTTCCCTATCATATAATACTGAATAGCATTTTTATAGTATTAAACATAATTAAAATTTTATGTTTTCTTGAATTTATGTGATTCTATATTTTTCTAGTTACTGAAAAAATTAGGCTTAGATAGCTTGTACACTGGGACAACAGAAGTTACTGGTGATGAATATAATGTTGAAGAATTAGATGAAGGTCCTGGAGCATTTAGATGTTATTTGGATACTGGCTTAATGCGTACAACTACAGGTGCTAGAGTTTTTGGTGCCATGAAAGGTGCTGTTGATGGTGGTCTCAATATCCCACATAGGTATTTGACACAGTTACTTTATTAAAATGTTTAATGGAATCCTTAAAATGTATGTACTACTGTCACATCATATGATGATTATATAACACATGCGCGTCATCTGAGTCATAGCAAGGCATGATTTTGTATTTGTGTTCTACAATGCAACTTCTTGTCTTTGCATGGACATAAAAAGATTATAAATTGTGTTCCTGATAATATATAATTAAATATAGAAATAGTACAACATATAACTTCCTAACACAATATACAATGCTTCCCATTGTTTCTTTGATAAATAGCACGAAGAGGTTCCCAGGGTATGATAGCGAATCAAAAGCATTCAATGCGGAAGTTCATCGGCAACATATTTTTGGACAACATGTTGCAAACTATATGAGAACATTAGAAGAAGAAGATGATGAAGCTTTTAAACGACAATTTTCACAGTATATCAAAAATGGTATTACTGCTGACAGTGTAAGTATTCATTTAATTTATTTTACATTCTAATATGCGTCCAGCTTATAATTGCTGCAAAATTTCATAATCTTTGCAGTGTCGCAGCTGGACAATAATAAGTGCATTGGTTTTAATAGATAAATGCATGATTATAGCATTTCTCACATTGACCTGTGTTACATTTCACCCTTCTTGATGCATTTTTATTTTAGATATTAGTATTTCATTACATGTGTATATGTGTGCAATTAAAATTATTACATTAATTATTGTGCATATGTACATGTAGAAATATACTGCGCTTGTAAAAGCTGTCTAGGGAAGAAAAGTATATGTTTTGACTTCTACACACGAAATTTAAGAATTTATTGTACAAGAAACGAGATTAAGCATCAATTAGGATTGTAAGATGTAAAATTAAGATAGAATCTTTCCTTATAGCATATTTGAAAGCGAAGGTTTGAAGATATTGATGGAATTTCATAATAGTAGACCAGGTATCAATAATAGCAAATAAACTAAACTTAAATTAAAAGTTAATTAACAATTTTTCGTATTTCACTACTTATGCCAAGTTCTATAGCTAGAAATTATGGTTGGTCGTGAAAATGGTGATTTCACACTAATTGAAGTCGTCATTTAAGATAGTAGTTTATGAGCGCACTATATCCCCCCCCCCCCCCCCCCACCCC